AACCAAAAGGGGCTTCGTTCCTTCTTCCTCGTTCCCTGGGTCAGGCCGAACACTGTAAGCTTTTGCAGCTCCCGCGCGGATCTCTTGGGAGCGGCGCCGGACCCCTCTGGCGGGGGGCCTCCTTCGCGCCGCCCCCCGGCGCGCGCGCTTTCCGCGCGCCACGGAGAGGGGTCCGGCCCGCGCCGATCCCGGGAGTGCCCGCGGAGCTCCGACGCTTCGTGCGCGGTGCAGTCTTCTTCTCTTGGGATCTTCCTCCTCCTCCTCCTCCTCCTCCTCCTCCTCCTCCTCCTCCCCTCCTCCATCATCTCCTCCATCATCTCCTCCTCCATCTCCTCCTCCTCCTCTCCTCCATCTCCTCCTCCTCCTCCTCCTCCTCCTCCTCCTCCTCCACAAAAAACTCAATATGAATACTGTTCCTCGCCTCCCTCGCCTTCCTGCTGCTGCTCCGGCCTCTGTCGCCCCCGTGCGCCCCGGGGGTGCGCGGGGGGGAGGGCGGGAGGAGCCCGGGCGGCAGGGGCGAGGGCTGCGAGGGGCGCGAGCGGGCCGGAGCTCCGGCCGAAGACGGGAGAGCCCGCGGCCCGGCGGGCGGTGCAGCACCTCAGGCAGCGCGGCGGATGCCGGAAGGCGAGGAACACACACGGACACTTGATAGTCCCCAAACGTGGTGGTGACAGCACCTGGCGGTGAGTCTCGGGCGATTTGGTGTCATCACCCGGTTTGGGGACTCGTGCGGTTTTCTCAGGATGTCCCAGACACCTGGTGGGTCCAGGAGTCACAAGACCCGGTGGTGACCCCGCGTGCCCAAACCCAGCGGTGACCTTTTGGGGGATTCTAGGTCGCCACCTGATATCTCACCACCCGGTTTGGGGGTTCCCAAGACACAGAAAATATGGGATGGCGGCGATCGAGGGGGGGAAGTGAGAAGGGGAAGGCTTTCTCCGAAGGCTCGGAAGTCCCCCGGCCTTCCCCGAAGACGGACAAAAGCTTCTCAGAAGGCGCGAGGGCTTCTGAGAAGTCCCGCCGCCTTCCAGAAGGCCTTCTCCTTCTCACTTTCCCCCCTCGCTCGCCGCCGAGAGGAGCAGGCCGAGTACGCCCCTTCGGGGGGTGGGAACCCCACATCCCCACCGTTGGCGGCAGAGAGAGTCCGAGGGGGGGAGCCGCTGGGGCGTGAAGGGGCGTCCTCGGCGCTGGCGTGGTCGTGGAGGCGGCGCCCCAATTCTTCTCCGTCGGCCGCCTCTTCTGCGCCATCATGGGGGGGCTCAGGGACACAGGAATAACTGCGCACCTGTTTCTGAATGAAAAACACTTGTGCTTGAGTTCAAGAAACAAAGAGCTGGTTCTCGAATTCAGAAGCTGGGTTTTTGAGTTCAAATCCCAGGATCCCCCATATTTTTAGAATTCGCAAAACAAAGAACTGGTTCTTGAATTCAGAAGCTGGGTTTTTGAATTCAAATCCCAGGATCCCCCAGATTCCCCGATATTTTCCGGGTTTTGGTTTTCGTCTTTCCCCCCCCACCCAGGGGGCCTCGCCTCCTCGGGCCCCCCGGAGGCTTGGGTGGCAGTGGCTTCCGCGCTTCTCGCGTGCCGGTGCTGCCGGAAGTATCTGCTGACCTTTGTCGGGGCTCAAGAGACAGGGGTCAATGCAAGTGGGGGTCAGCCAAGGCACCGGATCCTGCAGGATTCTGCGAAGACCGCCTCTGGCTGACCTGGGTTAGCGAGCCGCTCGTGGCCGCGAGGAGGCCGCGCATATTGGCTGACCCGGGTTTGCGAAGACCTGCGTTGCAGTTATTTTTTCCTGCATTATTGCAGTTTTTTGGTTTCCCGCTGACCCGGGTCTGGATTGATGCAGAATCTAGCGAAGATCCGTGGGGGAGGTAGCCTCGCCCTCCCGGCCCCCAAGGGCTGTCCGTGAAGCGGAGTCTCATGGACTCCTTCGCAACTGAGCAGTCCAGGCGACATAGTGCAGTTTCTGTTGCCAATTCGTTGTGTGTGTTCGCTTTTCCACAGACGCGGTTTCAGTTTTATTGCCTCATTCGTTGTGACTTCGCCTTTCCGCCACGCTGTCTTCCTTCTGAATCGTTCCTGAATCATTCGCGCCCTCCACCTCCCTCCCTCCTCGTCCTCCTTCTCGTTCTTCGTTCTCCTCCGTCTCCTCTTCCTCCTCCTTTTCCTCCTCCTCCTTCTTCTCCTCCTCTTCCCGCGTCCAGTTCCTTCTCCTTTTCCTCGTCCCTCCTCTCTCTCGCCGCCGACGCTCCGACATCGCCGACGACGACGGCGACGACAATCTGCGCCCCAGAGGCGCTTCAGAGGCCACCGGAGGGCTCAGAAGAGGGGGGAGACGCTCAGACAAACCTCGAGCCTCGATCGGTGTCTTCGCTGGAGGCCTCAGGAGGCCCCCCCGGAGGCCTCAGGAGGCCCCCGGAGCCCCCCCGAGGCCCAGGCGAGGGAGGGGGGAGGCGTTCGGAAGCCTCGACAACTCCGAACCTCGATCAATCAAGGGCACAAAAAACGCCCCTGCCCTGGTTTACGAGGCGCTGTGCGCTGAAACTCCTGTGGCTGACAGGGTAAGCCCTGCGTGGTGTGCCGAGTCCTGGCGGCTCCAGGCTTTGGGGGTTCCCAGGAGGTTTACAGACCACACACTTGTAACCCAGGGTAGGGTCTTTTTCTCATCCCTCAGATCAAGGTCCTTCTAGTCCTCGGGTCCTCGGGCGTCTCCCTCGGCTAGGTGCGCCACCAGTCCTGCATGCAGGTCTCCGTCGACGCCGGCACCGCGCTCCTGCGCTACGCGCCGAAGGCCCGAGACGGGCGGCGCTTCTGGTGCCCAAGAGGGCTCCAAGGGTACCCCTCTCTGTGAGGGGAGGAGGAGGAGGAGGAGGAGGAGGAGGAGGAGGAGGAGGAGGAGGAGGAGGAGGAGGAGGAGGAGGAGGAGAGGAGGAGGAGGAGGAGGAGGAGGAGGAGGAGGAGGAGGAGGAGGAGGAGGAGGAGGAGGAGGAGGAGGAGGAGGAGGAGGGAGGAGGAGGAGGAGGGGAGGAATTCGCTATTCTGAAGATGAGGGCAGTGAATCCTCCTCCTCGATCCTGATCCTTGATCCTCCTCCTCCTCCTCCTCCCGAGGTCTCTGGATGTTGCTGGAGGCTCCTGGAGGTCCCCAGAGGTCCAAGGCAGCCCCCTGTGGCTTCAGCGGGCGTCACGTGGTCGGACACGGGCGAACAGAATCCTGAAAGCCGCGATCGCGCCTAGAGCCTCGGGCATCGCAGGGCTTGGCTCCACGGCAGAGGGGGCAGGAGAGTCGTCCTTGGTCAAGGCCCCGGGCTGCGCACACACAGTTCCCCCCCTCTGGGCATTCACCTGCTGGCCTCAGCCGGCCTACCGAGTAGCCCCATTCCGCCTCGCGAGGCCCGCCGAGCAGCCCAGGGCGGCCTCAACGCCTCAGCCCCGAGGCGGGGAGCTCCCCTCGGGGCCCCGCCGGAGGCGGCGCCAGGGCGCCAGGGCCGCCCCAGACCACTCGGGGGGCCTGTTGGCCCGGGGGGCCTCTTGAGGCCAGCTGGGGCTGCCCCGGGGGGCCGTCTGCGCGCAGCCCGAGGCCTTGCCAGGCAGGATGGTCGTCCTGTGGCGCGGTGCCGGCCCTTCGTCCGCCGCGCTGCGGCCGAGGCCCTCGCCATCTTTGCGCCGCTGGTGGCCATCGCGGTTGGCTCCTCCTTCGGGTCCGCGTTCCTGTCGGCGAAGCTGGCGCTCACCGTGATCGTGACCTGTCCCTCGTTTCAAGTCGGGCGTGTCCCTCTACAGGGGGAATGTTCGAAGATAGTCAAAACATAGCCTGGGAACGATTTTTCTATTATTTTTTGACTATGTTGGGGTATTTTTTGCGTATTCGTAATTTTTCATCAAACGTCCGCCTGTAGGGGGACTCGCCCGACTTGTCCCTCGTTGCCCCGCGGGTCGCAGCAGGCGGGGGCGGAGGTCGAAGGAGGGCCCAGCTGAGACAACGGCGATCAGGAGGGGAAAACACACACAGACACAGTGCATCGTCGATCCCCAGGAAACTATAGGGGAAACTATGGGAGGGGGGGGAAGACGATGATGCAGAACATCTGAGAAAATACATAGGAATCCTGGGACTTGTGTGCATCTATTTGTGCGTCCCTGGGCCCCCACTCAGGCGACCATCCCTTGTGTGTCTTGTCCGTCCTTTTTTGCGCCTCGGGGAGGCTTCGCGTCGCCACGGCTGGATCCGCCGTGGAGAACGGGGTCAGGATGGACCCCAGGAGGAGGAGGAGGAGGAGGAGGAGGAGGAGGAGGAGGAGGAGGAGGAGGAGGAGGAGGAGGAGGAGGAGGCGGAGGAGGGCTGGGGACCGATCTTGAGCGGATTTGGCGGGAGAGCCGCGGCTGTCTCGATGGGCTCTGCTCCGAGGAGGGTCGCGCCGCATCGCCCATGTTTCGGCGATGCTGCGCGCTCCAGGGCCCGACTTTGTCCTTCGCGACGCCGCGATGCATCGTGCATGCATCGGCGATGTGTTGCGCCCCGCTGGCTCCACCTAAGTACTCCGGCTGTATGCGGGCGGCCTCCTATCGATGCTTCAGGACTCACAAGCACGATCGGAGGGGAGTAGTGGCAGGATTGGCAGGTGCAAACATGTGCAGCTACGGTGATGGCATAGCAGGGGGATCCGTAGATGACCGTTCTGACAAACATCGCAGCACGCAGCAACATTATTCGGCTATTGTTGGCAACATGCTGATTCCCCCGAGCAGCACACTGAAATGCATTATCGATTTGTCTCTCGCGTGACTGTGTGTACCTTTTGTGAATTTTGGGGCGAGGGTGTATTCAGTGTCGTCGTCTGGCACGTCTATGTCGAAGGCTTTCCTGACAGGCCGAGCATGGATGATTCATTTATTGAGCCGTTGACTTTACATTCATTCATGTTCTTTGAACTTGGTATCGAGGCTACTCGCGAAACAACCTTATCATAAACGCAACGCGCTTTGACCAATCAGCCTACACGGAGTACATGCTGATGAAGTATCCACGCCGTCAGAACGGTCGATTCGCATTACCGCGCTTCACCACTGCCGCGCTCTGGGACAAACGGTTCGGCGGCGTAAACGAAACACGCACTGTGAGCGACGTAGAATAACGAGGCCAGTTGCGTGGCATTGACGCGTGAACTGCCCGCGTGAGGCCGCGCATGCGCGCCTCCTCCCCCCCGAGCTGGGCCGCGCTGGCGGCCTGCGCAAACCACCGCGCGAAGCCGCCGTGACGACGTGCGCAGGTCGGAGGGCACCAACTATACACCAACACCGATCCTGGCCAGGATCGGTGCTGGTGTATAGTTGGTGCCTTCCTAGCAGGGGCCCTTTTTATGCAGCGCTGTACGGTTGATCCGTGCGAGCCCGCCCGACCACTGGATTAGCGCGCCGGCCTCCGCACACGCGGGCCGCACGCTGTCGTGAAGTCGGGCCTGTCCCTCTACACGAGGAACATTTTTTGGACTATTTTTTGGATATTTCAGGGTATTCTTTGACTATTTTTCATTTTTCGTAGGGAAAAAATAGTAAAGCAAATAGTAAAAAACATAGTCAAAAAATAGTCTGGGGACTATTTTTTGGACCGTTTTTGAATCTTTTAGGGCACTCTTTGACTATTTTTCATTCTTCGTCCAAGATCCCCCCTGTAGGGGGACACGCGGGCCGCACGCTGCCGCATCTGTTCCCTGTAAGCCCCGCTCGGAGCGTGTGAGCAGGACCCGGACCTCCCACGCCGCCCGTGTTTTCAACAGCCCGGGCTCCCAGGGCTGCTTCTTCGTACAGCGCTGTTGTTGTTGTTGTTGTTGTTGTTGTTGTTGTTGTTGTTGTTGTTGTTGTTGTTGTTGTTGTTGTTGTTGTTGTTGTTGTTGTTGTCGTCGTCGTCGTCGTCGTCGTCGTCGTCGTCGTCGTTTCTTGTTGTTGTTGTTGTTGTTGTTGTTGTTGTTGTTGTTGTTGAACTTTCATCATTGAAGAATTATTATTTTTGACCCCCCCTCCGGTGCACATGGCATTTTTTCGATTGAAGTGCCCCTCCCGGCGCTCGCACCCTCTTTTTATCAAGGAATGTCTTCCTCTGTGCCCCAGGCCCCCGGTTTACAACAACAACAACAACGGCTCCCGCTTGATACCTCGAAATTTACATTGGTCCCCCGCTCACGCTTGAGACTTCCCCCCGATGTACTCAAGAATCGCACTCCCGCGTGAGACATCCTCGCAATTTACTCAGGCGCCGCGCTCTTGCCATTCAGGAAATCGCGCGTTCGCTGGGGACTTCTTCAAGTTTACTTAGGAAGCGCTCTCTCGCTGGAAACTTCCTGGCTCATCACGCAGAACGCACGAAGAAATAAGAGGGCGGGTATCGAGGGTCCGGGAAATGCACGCTGAATGACACTCGAGCAGATAAGAGCGAACAGTCTTGAAATGACTGTTGTTGTTGCTGTTGTTCTTGTTGTCGTCGTCGTCGTCGTCGTCGTCGTCGTCGTCGTCGTCGTCGTTGTTGTTGTTGTTGTTGTTGTTGTTGTTGTTGTTGTTGTGGTTGTGGTGGAACTCTCATTCTTGAAATATAGTTGTTGTTGATGCACCTCACCAGTGCGCACTGCAATTTTCAATTGAAGTGCCCCCCCTCGGGGCTCGTGCCCTGTTTTTTCTGAAAGAAAGTCTGCCTGCTCAAACTGTGCCCCTAGGCCCCCAGCTACATCAACAACAATGAATCCCGCTTGTTATTTCCTAAGTTTTTTCCCAAATCGCGCTCTCGCGCAGGACTTCCTCACAATGTATTCCGAAGTCACGCTCTCGCGCGGGACGTTCTCACAATGTATGCAGGAATCGCGCTCCCGCGTGGGGCTTTTTTTCGCAGTTTGTTCAGACACCGCGCCCTCGACACTCAGGAATCACGGTCTCGCTTTGACCCTTCTCACGATTTGTCATGGGAATCGCGCTGTCGCTGTGCAGAAGTCGTGTTCGCAGGATCCAGGACTCCACGAGGTGATTTTGGTCTCGGTCTCCTTCTTCTCTCCTTCTTCCTCCCCCGTCCTCATTATCGTTTATCCCACTCGCCAGCTCCCCGGAGGCAGCATACTCGAGCTCCACGCCTCAAGGGCACCCAAGTTGAGCGGTGACAAGGTGGTCCCGTGACCTCGAAGTCCCGAAGACCTCGCCCGACGGTCTGGCAGGACGGGTTTGGCCCCTGGAAGGCTCCAGGCATTCGAGACATCGCCAGAGAACGAGTGAAGCCTCAAGTCGGGCGTGTCCCTCTACAGGAGGAATTTTCGGAAATAGTAGAAAAATATGCAGGGGATGATTTTCGAGTTTTTTTTTGTCGTTTTTTGTTTTGCTTTTTTGTTGATTTTTGGACGACTGTATCGGGCGTGTCCTCCTATAGGCGGATTTTTCGTCCGAAATCCGCCTGTAGGAGGACACGCCCGACCTAGGGAAGCCCCAAAACCATCCGCTCAGACCCAACCACCTCCGACCAGATGGTGTGGCCACTGGAACGCACTGAGATCTCCAAATGTCGCCCCCAGGTGCACGGTGGCGGGTATCGTTTCGTAGCACATGCTCGTCTGTTGAGAACTGCAGGCCTCAGTTCAGCGACGCGTGTAATTTGCGCTGAAGTCGGAGCGTTACGTTCTGACGTACCTATCTTCGGGCCGCATCATTTTGTAATCAGGGCGAAGGTGCCCTGTGGGAGCGACACCGTGTACAATTTTTGTCAAGTCTGCTTAGGCGCCAGGCTCCTCCAGTCATTGAGAGTCAAGCCGATATCAACACCAATCCCAGAGAAGCTACGCTGTGAGCTTAATCTGAGGTCTGGACGTGCCACTTGCGAGAACGCATATGCCAATTTCATGTCTATCGCTTCTGAAGACGGTCTGATATGCCAATGTTCGCGCATCCAAGACCATGAACATGAGCACGAACCGAATGTGGGTGGCATGGGATTTCACATTTACAGGCCACTTGTGTTTAGTGTCCTCATGAGTTTTCTATTGATTGATGTATGCGTCTCTCCCCCTGGCTTTGCATTGCGCAGCCTTTCGGTCTCACCATTCCATTGTATGTTAGTCCGAACTCCTCCCGTCTCCTTACACCCCTGTGTCGCAGGTACCGATCCTGACAACCTATGGTATGGCTGTCGCAGTGTACCAGATGAACGCCTTGAATTTCTTGGGGATCCAGATGTGGCAGGACGCACGTCGGCAGCATACTAGCGTAGTGTCATCGTAGGGTAAGAGTAGGTCCGCATCGCACAGCATTGCAGCATCCGCCCGGAACGGTGTGAATTCAATATTTGGCGATCTCGCCGTTGCCTATCAGTGATGTGCAACCCGCTTCCTCTCACCCCGACAGCTTCGAATGCATGCTGGCATCGCCGAGAGCGTCTAATACAGGACTCATGCGAAGGATTGGTTGTTATCTGGGTTTCTCCATTTCACATGGTTGTGTAAAGCTGAGCTAACCTCGCTCGAAGCAAACCTCGCTCGACCGATCAATGTTCCAATTGGCAGCGCAGGGTCGCAAACAACGTTCTAAGAACCTTTTGACGTTCCCACGACATGTTCTTAGAACATTTCTGGCTGGGGCTGTCTTGTTTTATCACATCGGGTTTATGTTCTAAGAACATGTGTTTTTGTTATTAGAACACTTTTAGGTTCTAAGAGCATTTCGTGGTAGGACTACAGGAATGCCGGGACGGTCGGTTTCTGCTCAATGGGTACAATGCCGATGCCATGCGTGTGCGGAATGTAGTCTTTCAGAGATGATCGCTCTTTTTGTTGATGGGCGTAGCTGGCGTGACGCTTCAATGAATGAATGAACTCGCTGTCCGCGCCGCCGCGGCCTGTGCCCATTCGGAACAGAAGGCCGTCTGCCCAACAGCGGCCTCTGGTGGTTTGGGATAACATCTGTTGTTCGGCATTATGCCAATTTTTTCCGTACCGCGTCCGAAAAGGATGCGCCATAAGGCTGCAAGGGCCATGGATTGGGGAACGAACAATGACATAAACATGAATTCGGAGGTCCGCGCGGATTTCTCGGATCCAAGAAATCCGCGTGGACCTTCGATTTTTCTATGTTTGTACAATTTTTCGTTTCCCTATTGGAGGGCTATTTCGAAGCTTTCGAGCGGGGGCGCGGCCAACGAAAGTGGCCAAGGATGGACCGAGGAGGCAAGGGTGCAAGGGCACCCTGGGGAAGGTTGCCCATCTTTACTATGCGGGCTGGCTGTATTCAGGAATCGTGTTCTTGCCCCAATTCTGGATAATTTTATGTTTGGTTCCACCGGCCACGATCCGTTGTATGAAGAGTACTCAGGGTGCACATGGCCGTGCTTTCACTCCTGTGCCCTATGGCCGACCTCCTCGTCCTCGACCCGTCTCTTAACCTTTGCTGCAGTAGTAGGGCGTGGCAGTTCCCAGACCCCCCCCCGGAAAACCCGCCTAACCACCCTGAGGGGCGGTTATGGGGGGTTCCCCCCCGAGCACCCCCTCTTACGGGAGGTTTGTGGGTGGGTTAAGGGGGGTTATGGTTGTTGCTCCCCTGGAGCCCTCCTCAGGGTATTTTTGGAGGGGTATTGAGGGGTTGGAGGGGTTTCCCCCCCGTACCCCCTCGTCAGTTTTTTTTTTTTTTTTTCGGACCCTCCTGTGTTGGGTTCTCGCTTTGAATAGGGCCTTGTGGTCTTCACCCTTTCCTCCTCCTCCCCCTCTCTTTTTTCCACCCTTTCTGTCTTGGGTTCTCGTTTTGAATAGAACCTTCTCCCGCCTCTGCCTCCTCCTGCCTCCTCCTGCGCTGCTTCCTGGGCGGGTGCGAACTGGGCAACTGTTGCCACTTTCGTAGGCTCCTGGGAGGTACGGCGGAGTCGCGGAGTACGTGGATCCTGCCGAGACCTCGTACCTCCCTGGGGGACTGCGAACTGCGGAACTGTCGCCATTTTCGTGGGCTCCTGGGAGGCACGGCGGAGTAGCGGAGTACGTGATCCAGGCTGCTCCCTGGGTGGCTGCGATCTGCCTAACTGTCGCCGCTTTCGTGGGCTCCTGGGAGGTCCAGCGGAGTCGGAGGGCACGTCACCCAGCCGAAACCTCGCTGCTGCCTGGGTGGTTGCGAACTGCTCAACTGTCACCACTTTCGTGGGCTCCTGGGAGGCACGGCAGAGTAGCGAAGTATGCGATCCAGACTTCCGCTGCTCCCTGGGTGGTGGCTGCGAACTGCGTAATTGTGTTCATGTTCATGGGCTCATGGGAGGTCCAGCGGAGTCGGGGGCCACGCGGACCCATTTGAGACCTCGCAGCTTCCCGGGATGCTGCGAACTGCGCAAGTGTCGCCACTTTTGTGGGCTCCTGAGAGGCTCGGCGGGGTCGGGGGCCACGCGGACCCAGCCGAGACCTCGCTGTTCCCTGGGAGGCTGCGAACTGCGCAACCGTCGCCACTTTCGTGGGCTCCTGGGAGGCACGGTGGAGATGGGGGCAGTCTTGATCGCGCATATCTGGGGATGTGCTCTTGTGTCTGGAGCGTTCACATAAATATTCGCCTCTCGTGTACGTCTCGGGTAATTTGGGGGGAAGGTTAGGGGGGGGGGTCAGATTTGTTTCCCCTGGACCTTCCCCTTTGCCAGGCCAGACCCCCCTCTGGGGGGGTTCCCCGCTGGAGCTCTGTTCAGATGTTTTTTTCTTTTTTTTTGGGGGGGGGGGGGGGGTAGGGGGTCAGGGAGGTTTTTCCCTCGGACACCCCTTCCCTCTAGTTTTTCTGACGGGGTGGGTGGGCGGGGTAGGGTGTTTTTCCTCGGGAATGTTTTTTTTTTGTTTGAGGGGGGAGCGGGGGTTAGGGTGTTGTTGTTGTTGTTGCTGTTGTTGTGGTTGTTGTTGTTGTTGTTGTGGTTGTTGTTGTTGTTGTTGTTGTTGTTGTTGTTGTGGTTGTTGTTGTTGTTGTGGTTGTTGTTGTTGTTGCTGCTGTTGTTGCTGTTGTTGCCGTTGTTGCTGTTGTTGCTGTTGTTGTTGCTGTTGCTTTTGTTGCTGTTGTTGCTGTTGTTGCTGTTGTTGCTGTTGTTGCTGTTGTTGCTGTTGTTGCTGTTGTTGCTGTTGCTGTTGCTGTTGCTGTTGCTGTTGCTGTTGCTGTTGCTGTGCTGCTGTTGCTGTTGCTGTTGCTGTTTCTGTTGCTGTTGCTGTTTGCTGTTGCTGTTGCTGTTGATTTTGCTGTTGCTGTTGCTGTTGCTGTTGCTGTTGCTGTTGCTGTTGCTGTTGCTGTTGCTGTTGCTGTTGCTGTTGCTGTTGTTGTTGCTGTTGCTGTTGCTGTTGCTGTTGCTGTTGTTGTTGTTGTTGTTGTTGTTGTTGTTGTTGTTGTTGTTGTTGTGGTTGTTGTGGTTGTTGTTGCTGTTGCTGCTGCTGCTGTTGTTGTTGTGGTTGTTGGTGTTGGTGTTGGTGTTGCTGCTGCTGCTGATGCTGTCGTCGTCGTCGTCGTCGTCGGTGGTGGTGGTGTTGTTGTTGTTGTTGTTGTTGTTGTTGTTGTTGTTGTTGTTGTGGTTGTTGATGTTGTTGTTGTTGTTGTTGTTATTATTATTATTGTTGTTGAATTTTCATTTCTGAAGAATATTTTTTGTGGATCCCCCCACCAGTGCATACTGTTTTTTCTCAATCAAAGTGTGCCCCTCGACGCTCGCACCTTGTTTTTTTGTCAGGGAAAGTCTTGATGCTCAAACTGGGCCCTTGGCCCCCGGGTTACAACAACAACGGTTCCCGCTTGAGACTTCCTTACAATTTAGCCAGGACCCCGCTCCCGCCCGAGACTTCCTCGCATTTTATTCAGGAATCGCGCTCTCGCTTGGGACTTCCTTACAATTTATTCAAGAAACGCTCTCCAGGCGCTCTGGAGTCGCGCTTTCGCTGGAGATTTGCTTGCAAATTACTGAAGCATGGCCTTGCGTTGGGATTTCTTGCAATTTGCCCAGGCGCCGCGCTCCCGACACCCAGGCACCCAGGAGTCGCGCCCGTTGTGGCCCCATGTGCATGCCCTTCGTGGCTCCGCTGTCGTCATTTGTGCCCCCCTCACTGTCCTACGTGGCCCAGTTGCTACCCTCAGTGGCCCCATAGTTGCTTTCTGTGCCCCGCATTATCTGCACTTCGTGGCCCCCGCTCGTTCGCGCTCTTCGTGGCCCCATACGCATTCCCTTCGTGTTTCCGCTGTCGCCCTTCGTGGCCTACTTCGTGCCCTTCGTGGCCCTGCTGTCGTTCTCTCTCGCTCTCGCTTTCGCTCGTCGTCGCCGTCGTCGTCGCCGCCGCCGTCGTCGTCGTCGTCGTCGTCGTCGTCGTCGTGGTCGGTCCCCTGTCCGTCCCTCTTGGGGTCGGGTCGACGGTCCGCGGCCGCCCCGCCGATTAGCGCTGCCGCTGGCCAGGCCGACGGTCCGCGGCCGCCCCGCCGCTTGCCGGGGCCCGGCCAGCAGGGAAGAAAGGTATACCCCCCAAAAAGGGTTCGATCGAAGACGAA